TTCTGCTGTAATTTAAGGTGATCTGCCACTGTATTGGATTTAGTAAATTAAACATGTTTTCTCCTGTTCAGATGATGTCTGACAAGATAATAGTATTAAATCCACGTTTATTATTTCTACAACTCTCTACACTAACTTTTGAAAAATGACCTTTAGAAAGTTACTCTGAGAGTGTCCTAATATAGATTTCATTCACCTAAGGGTGGAAAGGTTTGAACTTTATTTCCCAACTTGATGAGTATTTCATGATAAACCAGTTCTGGCCCATTAACTTCATTTCTCAAAACACAGGTTTTAAAAAAGTGTTTCCTGAAGGAGTTGCCACTAAAAATGGAATGCATCTAACTTGCTGGGACTAAAAATGGTCAGAGCTAAACATGGTACACGTAATGGTGAAAATAGTTTTTGTTTTTCTGGTAGGGTGTGTGTGTGTGTTTTAATTTTGAAGTAATAAGTAGTATTTTATAAAAAACAATCAACATTTGTCTGATTAGCATCCTAATTGTTAGCAAGCAGACTGAGGGATACCGCAGAACCCCCAAACTCAAGTACTCTATGGGGTTTGGCCATCTGTGTACACAAAGAAAAGGCAACTCTTAGTGTAAAGAAACTTTAATAGAATTAGTGTGCATAGAGAGAGATGAGCAGAAAGGATAAGTTTCCCACTGAAACACCCAAAGTTACAGATCTCCTCCTGAGTAAATGCTCAGCAGAACAGGTTTGGCCCAAAGCAGGGCCACTGAGGCCCGAAAGCCTGCCACAAGTTTAAGGTACCTTTTGGTCAGTACCCATAGGAAAGGGGCAGAAGGGGCCAGGCAAGTCTGGGACAAAAGGAGAAAAACCAAAGTATAAATTGAGGTAACAGCTGCCATCGTCAGCCTCCCCTCATGTCTCTTCCAGGTGTCTCTGGAAGAGACAATTCCTATCTTCAAATATATTATGGTGGCAGCGCCAGGCATACACAAAGCTCCCACATAAGCATGTGTGTCCTCCACAAGTCACCTCCCTGTCCCCTAAGTCCTTGGTGAAAATTCAAAGCTGAGAAACAAGTGATCCCTTCTTCTCCATGTGTCTTCCTCTTATCTCTCCTCTGTGTATCCTCCAAGTGCTCTTCTGAGCCCACCTGCCTTCCGTGTCATATAGTTTCACCTGGTTGCTTAGCTCCACCCCTTCTTAGGTGGGATAGGGAATATGGAACCTCCCCTTTTTATGGAGATGTCTATTACATAATGTCCTATAAGTCTTAAAGCTTGCAAAGCAGCAACCTGTCTTCCTGTTCCCTGGTATTCACCCTAATTTATCTTGAAAATAAAACACAGGAGGGAATATTGCATGAATGCCATATCCTCTCTGCTGGGTTTAATGAAGGACAAAATTGATTGTCCTTTTGGAGATCATTGTAACCCACCCTTACAGGGATTCTGTGTGTGTCCATGTAGATTAATTGCAAACAAGTCTGCCCAAATCCAGCTCTGGAAGGTTGTAAACTGACACCATACTACTGGGTCCCACATTATGGTGTGTGGACTCATTCAAGTAATACCTGTATCTCCCACTTCAACTTGAGTAAACAGGCATATATGAATGGTCACAGGGGTAAACCATAGTTAGGTGTGTGCTTGAGGCTTTCAGGGTCTTGCATACCTTTTTAAAATCGACACTATGTGAAAGGCAAATTTTCCCCACAGATGTTTCAGTTAATTTCTCCTTCTAGGTAAGGAATGGCCCATTTCTTGGTCTGTCTGATGATGACTTCATTTTCTGGCATAAACTAACCTAATTTGCCAATGAAAAATTTCACTGAATCATAGGTTGCCTGCAAGGAAATGACAGCCCTGCACCTTTGGAAGTGTGCAGCAAAACACGGGATTGCATTTTAAACAAAAGACTTATGATTTTTAATTCACAGTTAAAATAATGCTCCTAAGTGGCACTTATTATTTATAAAAGTTTAGACATTCTAATAACAGTAATCAAGAGGAGCTATATTCACTCTGAAGCAAAATAAATGAGGAGCAATTGTGAAAACTTGCTTAGTATTTTCTGTTTGTAGGGGGAGGTTTTCCTAAATCACACCACATTGCCCTGTTGATACATTTCACTGATGGTCTTTCTGGATGGTTGGAAACTAGAAATCCTGTACAGCTGATTTCAAGAATAGGAGCAGCAATTCTCTTCCAAGCCTAACATAACAGCTGGGGTTTAGTGGAAGCAAATAGGATTTAGACCAAGCAGGGAACTCAGGTTTGAGTCTTCATCCCCACAATTATTGACTCTGACTTCCTGGAAGGTTGTTTGCCTTGAGTATCAGTTTTCTCAACTGTGAAGTAAGATAGAAAATTGTCCAGACTGAGGTGCTCCTATATATGATTGTAACAGTACCCTGCAAATCAGAGGTACTAGTGTGCTTGGCTGAGTACTCTGTTCCCTGTGGTTTAGGGCAGGTGTGACGTGATTTATTGTCTAGCTAGATTTATGTAATTAAGAAAAACCTATCCAGATGAGTTTCTGTTTATTTATTTATTTATTTATTTATTTATTTATTTTTAAAGATTTATTTATACAAGCACTGGGTACAGTCAGAAGCGCGGGAGGGTGAGAGAATTCACCAGAGCTAGAGCGGGGAGCAGAGCAGGCAGAAGGACTGAAGTACACTGCTGAGGGGAGCAACAGGCAGCAGGAGAGGTCTGCGTGCCATGTGGGACCCTCCTCCAGTGGCCGGGAGCAGCTGGGGATCGAACCAGCGTTGCAGAGGCTGCCGGCAGCTTTGCAACCCAGCGCTCAACCGCTGCGCCACCTGGGAGGCCCCAGATGTGTTTTTAAAGGGGTGCTTCTGCCTTTGTCAGCTCTTTCCTATTTCAAATTAGAACTTTATTTTATCTACTTAGTTATTCAGAGATTTTTACTGAATTCCTACTGTGTACTAGGCACTGAGGATAAAATTTTGAAGAAGACAAAGACCCTGTTTTGAAAGAATTTACCTGCCAGGCAGAGGGAAACAGCAGGGTAGAATGTCCTGGAGGCTGGCAGGAACTTGGAGGGCGGGTCATTGCAGGAAGGACTGGGGTGTGGGCAAGGGGTAACCTGGGAACCTGTGGGCCTTGTAACCATGGGGAGAGTTGAATTTTATTCTAAGAGTGTGGTGATTTCATTCATTTACTTTGCATGCAGAAAGCCCTTTAAATATTTAGCCAGAAAAGTATAAAAGATGAGCCCTCCCTGATGGGCTGCCTGGCCCTGCTAGTCAGCCTTACCTGTCTTGCTCCACCCTGCTCTAAGCTCACTTCTTTCACAGGCTCCTATAGTTTTTCCGTTTGGAAGGACTACCCCTCCTGTTTACTTTTTCCCTTTTGATAGTACTTCTCACATGCTGCCTTGTTTTAAATTCTTGGTCTTGGTGCCCCCTGCTATAGAGGGAGCCTTACGACGTCAGGGCCCATATGCGACTCCCTTTTCCTTTTGCATCCATTGTGGTGTGCCTGTACCTCTGCCCAGGACAAGACCAACACATATATATTGAGAAGAAATAACTCAAGTTTTGATACCAGGTCAGTAGAGGGAGAAGAGGATCAGAGAGCAGAATGGGAAATACTATCAAAAGGACTCAAAAGGAGTGTCATTTTACTAGTCTTTATTTTTCCAGGAACAATATGGGTCTGTTGCAGATTGCTTCATTTACTATTAATTGAGAGGATTGTTAACTTGGAAACTTTTAGAATTAAATTTATTTCAAAGAGAGGTCATCTTTTATCCATTTTTAAAATTCCAAACATAATATGTACTTTAAAAATTCAAACATTTAAGAAAATGCATAAAATAAAAAGTTTAAATCGAACCCATTCCTCAGTATTATGGCCTCTTTAGAGATAATTATTGCTCATAATTCTTTAACTCTTTGAGAATTTTTACATGCTATTCCATTTCCCTTTGTCCACATCAACACATAATAGATCTGCTTTGTACTACAGAGACTTCCCTAATGTGGGTATATTACTTACAGTTTTTTCCTATTGAGAGCTTTTGGTTTGTTTCCAATTATAATAACTTCTTCTCAGCATACCACTCGGCTATTCTGTGGTGTCAAAATACAAGTGCATTCAGTTTGTTTGATTGTTTTTCACATACATTTTGACTACCTATTGTGTGTCTGACACAAAGATAAATGAGATGTTGCCTAGCTGTCAGGGAGCCTGTGGTCAGGTGGAGAGTGGGTGCTGCACAAGCAGCTGGATGCAGTGAGTGACAGCCAGGGGAGTGGGCAGCCACTGCACTTCTCTCAATGAGAACCATCGGATGGCTGCGCATAGGAAAGGCTTTGCCAGAGAGAGGCTGGGCTTCTAAGGCAGAGAGGTAGCTGGAGGAGGGCAGTTGGGGACAAACTAAAGCACCCAGAGTGGAGCAGCTGGGATGAAATGAGGTTGGAGGAGGGAGAAAAAGGAAAAGGTGAGCTTAAAGGGGTAGGCCAGGCAGGAGCAAATCCAGAGACCTTTATGCTGTATTAGGGGCTTGAAAGAAACCTCTGAGAGGTTGGAGTTTTTCTTGAGCTTCCTTTGCACACCACTGCATTTAAGGCAAACATGTAAGAGATTGCTGCATATTCAAAACTATGTCATAATGAGCTGTTTTAGAAAAGAGTTCCCTGCTATTTCCAAGAAGCCTGGCTAATAAGCCAGTTAAAGAGTGGAGTTGATAGTGTTTTTCAGCAGACCAGCCCCTGGGCCCTGTTTCCCTAGCACCTGGACTGACATTTTCTTGCTGTCTCCTCACTCCCACCCTCCTCTATCTCTGTGTGGAGACTGCATAGAAGGGCCAAGCACTTTTTGTGGACTCTGCACATAAATGGATAAGACTGCTCCCCAAGGATATCAGCCCGGCAACCTTTGGAGTGTGAAATACATTTAAAAGGGATCAGGAAAAGAAAATCAGAAAGAATGGGGAAAGACTGTTTAGATGGGGTAGTTTATACAGTTAGTAGCTTTAATTTTTATTTCCTGGAAAAGGTTGGAGAGAAAGACATGTAAGGGAAATTCTCCTGCGAAGTGCTTATAGAATTGCCACTCCATCAGCAAGGAAACCACAGACCAGGATGTAAGGACTGTGAATTTAAAGCAACCCTGGATTAAATTCCTCAGGTAAGCCTGCTAGTCATGTCTCCCCAGTGCATATTTATCCAGATGTCCTTTTGGGATGGGACAGGACAGATTTTTAATGACTCTGAACTGCCTTCCTTAGGCACCCAAAGGCTGTGTTTTGCTGACTGTGGGAGCTCTTTGTGTGAGCTCCAGGGGCTGCTGTGTGTAGGGAAGATTCTGCTCTCCTCTTGTCCCTGGCCCCCTGCACATGTCAGTTTCTCTATCTCTGAAATGGGGACTGTAACCTCTCTCACTAGCCTTCCCTGTAATAGGTAATGTTATTGGGCCTATTTTGTTAAAAGAAATAAAGATTTATGGATTCAGATATGCACGTCTAAAATAGCTTCCAGTGCTATTTGGCTGTCTCTGCCTGAATTTTACTACGTCTGTGAGATTCAGCATTTTCTCGTGGACTGTGAATTGTTGCTACTAAATGAGCTTGTCAGTCTCTGCTAAAGAACAACATGTCCTTGGATTTACCCCACATTGCTTTGCTTTGTGTACTTATACCGAGTGCTGGATGTGGCATGTACCCAATTTTGATCTTTCCCAGAAGTCTGCACCTCTGTAAGGAACACTGGTGTGTAGACCTACGTCTTAAGCCAGAACCCCCAAAGCCTTCAGACCTGGCTCTGCTGCAGGCTTCCCCATGTGGATGTGGACCTGGGTTGGGTGCTGCCCACGAGCCCCACTATCTCCTCTGCAGAACCCCACCTCTGAACCTCATCAAGTCAGTCTTTTGCTGGTACTCATTTGTGTACGAACTTTTGGAGTTTTCCTTTCGGTCTATGATTCATAATTCCAAACCTTCTGTTGATTGTAAAATGCGCAGTTGGAAATAACCATTCAGATGCCTTTCAAGTACATCTCATCATCCTAAGGACCAGGTCCTCAGTGACACATGGACCTTTTGGAGAGTACTTTGTGTTGCAGGCACACTCCTGGGGGTTGGTTCACAGACTCAAGGGCTACCTTCAGTCTTGAGAAAGGGACAGAAAATAGTGGGCTCTGATGTTCCCAAGTGCCTACCATCACTTCTTAAATAAGATTTTTTTTTGTTATCTGATTTGCCTGTGGGACTTCACATAACATTTTAAGGAAAGGGTTCTATTCCAAAAAAAAGTTTTAAAACTTCTAGTTTGTATATTAAAATCATCAGAACATGTTATAAAAATCTCTTTCCAGAAAATAAGTCTTTAAAAAATGTTGTCTTTAAAAAATACATATTTTAAAAGTATATTTTTGATAAACCCCTATTATAAATATCAGAAAAGTACCTCAGGAAACTGCCTTTTATGATAATCTCTGCCCATCCTGGTGTTCCCTGCCTTTCAGCCATTTGCAACATCATCCTCCCTGGGCATTCTAGTTTATTCCTGCACAAGCCAGTTCACTACCACTCTCCAGACCACTTGGACACACTTTTTGGAAACAAAGACCTACTAAGACTCCTGTGAGTATATAGCAAGCTGTTTCTACCCTGAGTTCTGATTCATTCTGCTACCTTTTTTTGAGTGCCATGATATTTCAGGCACTATGCTGGACATCGAAGAATCATGGTTGATGCAAAAAAAAAAACTAGGAGCAGTGCCTTCTCCTTGGAATCCTTTTCTCTGCCTGGTGAAATATGAGCTCACCACTCAATAACCAGCTCAAATAACCCCTCATGAATTCTTCTGGACTTAGGCATAGGTGCTCTTCTTTCTCATTCTGATGTGCTTTGTACATATATCTTTTCTATATCGTGGTAATGTAGTTAGTTGGTGATTGGGCAGGCTGTGCCCCTGTGAGACATCAGTTGGGTTGTATCATTCCCCAGTATCTTTCCTAGCCGTGGATACCTACTAATAGTTCAAAGAATTTCCCTTTCCTTCCTGACCTTCCTTGGCTGAGTTTCAAATGACTTGTTTCCCTTTATTATATTGTTCACTTTATAGCAGTTTTCTCTTTCCTACTGGAATATAAGTTCCCAGAGGGCTGATCCGTTATCTTAATCTTCCTTCAAAAGCCATGAATATAAGACTTGCTTGCTGGTTTTGGTGGACCTTCCCACCTCTTGATTGAGAGAACTGGTAGCATTGCTGAGGAAACTCCTTTCTGAGAATGTGAGCCATATTCCTGATTTGTCCTGTCTCCAGTTGATGGATGTCACTTAGGGTGAGCAGAGAAAAAGCTGGACTTGGTACTGGTGTCCCTTAAAATAGAGCAGGCAGTGACAGCCGAAATATCTGCTATATAGATTCTGCTTGCTTATATCTCATTGGCCTATTTAATTAATTAGAATGGGTAAGAGGAAAATACCACTCTGAGGTCAATTTAGTGGTCTGCATCTGCCTTCCTGTAACTATACGGTGAATCTCTGCTACCTAAATATATAGGTCTTTCTAGGGGCAAGAATTGTCAGTATTGTGGAAATGTCAATATTTTTATTCACTCATCTAAAGAAGTCACCTCAGGAAGGGATATCTCTGGATATCCTTAAGTGAAAAGGCTGGGCTCTAACAAGTATCATACCTTGACCTGCCATGTTATCAGCATGAGGCTCTCTCCTGTGCACAGGTCCTACAGGTGAGACCAAGCCCTGGGCCTTGTTACACCTTGGCAAAGATCTCAGGCCACCATGTGCCTCACAGAGCTTGGCCAGGGAGGTAGGCAAGTTCATGGTTCTCCCCCTGGAGGAATCTCTGTCCCATGAGGTTCATGAGTATGGTAGCCTTGTTGTATTTTGATTTCGCATCTCCTTACTCAAAACCTGTATCAGGAAACTGGACTTCTGTCAACCGTGAGTAAGAAGAGGATGGCATGTAGACTGCTTGTGGAACTTGTGGTGCAAGAGAAAGATTATGTCTCACTCCTCCCTTGCCTTATCAGTTTGTCAACTTTAGCTGTGGTTCTCAAATTTAGTGATCGTGATGAGAAAAACATTGTTATAAACTCAGGGTTTGATATGCATGTGCTTTTCTCCCAAAAAGCCACATCCCACAAGTCCAGGTAAGCACTCACTTATTGTTGACTCACCTGCAGTCACCGTCCTATTGTGGAATTCATCTCTGGGTCATTCTCCCAAATGGTTTTCTGCTTCTCCTCACATTCCAAGGTAATCTCCAAGTATAAGGCTAAAAAAAATCGACAGCCCAGGCAGTGGTAATGGAGAGAGAATTGCATTGTTTACCTGTGTCACCAGGCTTAGAGGATAATGCCCAGATTATCTATCATGTAGCTTTGCACCTACAACATTTGTTTGGCTTGTGTGCTGTTGGCAAATCCTACTAGTAAGGGCCTTGAGCCATGCCTAGCTGGGGAAGCTTTGAGCCCAGAATCCGATCTCTTAGGGCACCCAATCTAGTCTCATTGAAAGGAATCTATAATAGGAAAGGAAGCTTTTCCTTTTAGTTGGGAGTTAAGGAAAACTCTTGTTAACATCTTGAAACAGATGAACTAATATTGCTCTTTCATTGGTATACTTTTCTCTTTGTGCCATAACCGAGTAAATATCATGGATGTGTCAGTCATCTGAGAGAGGTACTCAGCATCAGACTAATAAGAAAGTCAAAGAAAACATCGAGAGTAGTATTTCAGAAGAGAAGTCCAGGAGAACCTGTGGCAAGTAAAGGAGTTGATGAGAGAGTGGATCTAAGGGTGGGGCACATTAAACAGCAAAGGGCTGGGAGTAAGTGCCAGAGTAGTTCTGCACCTACTTCATCGTTCACATACACAGTTGCCTAGCTGTCTCTAAAATGTATCTGGAGTGAGAACTGTGGAGAAGCCCCCAAATCTGCAGTTTGAATTCCCTTAGCATATTGCTTCAAAACCTCAGATGGTATCTGTTGACTGGAGGGGAAAGAGGTTTTGACTGTGGTTAGTACTCACCATTCTTCACACAATGCCAGCACCACCCAGGGCAGTTCATAACATTTTAATTTCCTGCTAAAATGTGCTTTTCTTTCATTTTGCAGTGTCTAAGCCCATCAGATTGTAGAGATTTAAGTAAGTGGAGAACGTTATTTAAGTGGAATCTCATGGAAGACACACCCAGTGATCATTTTCATTCATGTTTTTCCATTTCTTTTGGCAGGAATAATGCAGTATTTCTATTTTTCATTATTATGTAGTGTTATGGGGCATATTTTTTGTGGGTTTAGATTCCAGAGTAGCATATCTGATTTATACTTGATACAGCAGTGTTTGCCAAGTAGTTTTCTTCTGAAAAGCAGCCACTTCGGCAGAAAGGGAAGAGCCTGCTATAAAAAGACTAGCACGTTATGGAGCTGCAGTGGAGTTCATTGGGACAAAAGACATTGGTTATCAAGAACTCTGGAGACTAATACTGTGCTTGATTAGATTAAAATCCAGTTTCATTTCTTTTTATTTTTGGACTATCTGCCAACGTTTAAGTGAGTTTTATATTTGCTAACCACCAAGACCCTTTGGTTTTCTTACTTTTTTTCCTTGTCTATAGGACTGGTCACACCAGGCTAAACCATATAGGTGACTATACATTTATTGTAAACATGGAAACTATTGTCTCTGGTTTAGTAAGCATTCTTTCTCCTCATTCCAAACAATACATTTTGTTGGCCCATGTTCCTGGGAGGATTGGCTTTTTCCATATTGCATAGACGAACACTGTCCTTATTTACAGCCTGATTTGTTCAATTGTTTGTCTATGGGGTTGGCTTCTTGGAACACAAAAGCCAGTCTTGGAACTACCATCAAGCATATAAAAGTGTTTTGAAAACGTGTTTCAAAGAAGATTTTAATATATGTCACTGTATCACAAAAAAATGGAACCTTTTTCCTTTTTTCTTCTATTGTGTTTGGACCCATGGAAATAATGGGCAGATAATGGGTGGATACAATAGTACTTAGCAATCTGGGACAACACTAGACACTCAGCAGAGGTGGGTGGTTGATGCTGCTTTTCCTGAAGTAGCCCTCCTTATGTGAAGTTGTCTGTGCATTAACTAGAAAAGTTGATTTTTTAAAGTTGTCAGACTGAGGAGGACCCTCATCCCAGAGGGTACTGTTTGAGCACCATCACTGAGTGCTGCCCTGGGAAGTGGGGGTGTCCTGTGCATGCGCCTCAGAGTGCACTCGGTATCCTCCATGAAACGAACCCTGATTCGATGCAGGCAGTGGCGCTGGAGCAGCGCTGACGGACGCCCATCTTGATGGCAATTTGGCAGGGAGTCAAACTTTGGCCCTAAAGCAGAGGTGGTGCAATTAGACAGCTGAGATGCATTCTCTAAACACACACTTTTAATTGATTTCAGCTTGTTCATTTCACAAAGATAGAGCTCTGACACATAGCAGCCGCCTTAGAGGGGCTTATTTTTACTTTTCCTTTATTCAGCAGCGTAATTCAACAGCAACAGAAGCAACAATAATACAGAGCTCTAAAGAGTGCGTATTTGGCATGGCTCAGATACAAAAAGTATTATTAAGAACTAATGAGTGAGATAGTTAGATGTTAACCGGAAAAGCATTAATGAGCAGAAGAGGATTCTGGCATAAACATCTGTTTCTGAAGCAGATGTTACCTTGTAAATCGGCTGAAGAAAAGCCTGTGTAAATGGAACAGAGGACTGTTTTAGGTAATAGAAGGGACAGAATAATATTGAAAGGTTTTCAGACACTGTTTTTGACTATTCTGAGATTCACTAATGACTGTGTGTATAGAGGCAGTGAATTGGGGGTTGACAAAAGGTATCAAGCAGAGGCAAACTATAGTGGCAGATCACAGAGAGCTGGAGACCACTGATTTCCGGCCTCACAGGGAGAGCATTTGGGGTTCTCATGAACTAAATAACTTGTCTCATCCTGTCTTATCCAGTGCTCCGTGGTCACTTCAGTGTATGTGGATTGTGGCAGCTGTCTTCTCACTGGGCTAGAGATTTAAGACCTGTTCTGCCCCCGACAGCAATTACCTAACCTTCAGCTGACTTACTGGGTAGCTTTAATGTAGATGACTAAATGACTGATAATGGGTTAATGGTCACACATTCCAAGATCACACAATGAGTACATTTTAGCAGTTTTTAAACCTTCATCCAAGGATTTCTAGGTGGCAAGATTTTCACTGGAGGCTTGGGTAGTTTTTCAATCTTTAAATCACACTGTATTGGCAGTTGCCTCATTCTTATCCACACAGGGACAGCTTGATAGTGATTATTTTCACTTAGCATCACAGAATAAACGTAGAGCTGGAAGGAAGCTTTAGGATCATCTAGTTGCTCCAAACTCCTCAGTGAACAGACTTGAAAAAAAAAGAGAGATCCTGAAAGTGATTCACCAGCATCACCCAGCAGTTGGTAAAAGGGTTTGTCCCAGAATCCAGGAGCATGTCCAGAGCTCAATCCCCTTCACCCCATTATAGGGCAAAACTCCCTCATTCTCCCTCATCTGCTGAAGGGTCAACAATGGGCAGTGCTCTGAAAGGGGGAAAAGTCCCTT